AGCACGCCCGGAGGCCACAGCACTCGCATCTCTGGCTGTCACCATTCACGTCCATGGTGACTATGGTGAGACAGCTCCTTTCTCTGCAAGACTCCACACGCCCTTCCTCCCTGCGGGGCCCCCGCCCGGCCCCCAACTCTTGCAGGAACCAGTGTCTGCACCCAAGGGCTGCCCCCATGTGGCAGGGGGACTCGAGAATAGTCCCACCACATACACACACACACACACACACATGTGCACACGTGTCCACACACACACGATTGTACAAGGTCATACACTTGAATGCACACACACACACACACCACCCTGCACACCAACAGGCACTATGCTCACACGTGGAGACACACAAGCTGGAGCACATATGCACATGCCCACACACACACATATCTGCTCACACGCCCATGCTCACACGCACATACGCCCACATGCACATATACACTCACATACACGCACAACTGCTCACACGCATGCAAGCTCACACACATGCACATGTATGCCCACACATGTTCATACACGTACACATGCTCGCACACACACACACACATGCTCACACATTTATACATGCACACATGCTACATCTGCTCACACACATGCAAGCAGGCAGATGATTTTAAGCAAATGAGTCAATACCCTGAGAAGATTCTTCTGCAACAGTCTCGCCCCGAGAGAGGACGGCAGGCAAGGCGTCTGCCTCATACACAGCCGGGCAAGCTGCGTGTCCGGCTCCCCCAAGTCCCCGAAACCCTCCCAGGAATAAGCCTTGGAATAAGCACTACCGGGCATGGCCCCAAATAGGAAGAAAATAGTCTCCGGTCCACAGGACACTTCGTGGACCACCAGGTCATGCACCTGAATGCAAGCACACATGCGTGCAAGAGAAAATTCATTCTAAAGAGCCCACATCTAGGGCCAGAGCAGCTGGACAGTGGAGGGCACTTGCGAGGATCCCATCCCGGCACCCCAAGGCATCCCTCAAGTGATTTCAGAGCACAGAGCCAGGAGTAAGCCCTGAGCACCACTGGGAGTTACCCCAAAACCAACATAAATAAAAAGTTCCGTCATTCTGAGTTCGTGTCTCAGCCATGGCTGGGCCCGGTCAGCAGCTAGCTTTGCCATGTCGTTCCCGCACCCTGGACGCCCTGTGTGTGCCACTTGGGACGTGCACTTAAGTCGGAAACACAGAGGCCTCGAAACAGGACGCTGCCGCCTCGTGAAACTGTTGTCTGAGTCAGTTGCCCCATTCCCCACTCGGAAACCACAGGGCCACACGCAGCAGAGAGTGATCACGGCCCATGGCCCCGTCCTCCGGGACTCACACGAGAACCAGCTGGGTGCCAGCCCAGGGTCACGCCCGCCACCCAGGAGCCACTGGAAGCCACTGCCAGATGTGCCAGGCTGGAGGGCCTGGGAGAACCCCAGTCCATGGGACAGCTGTGGCACCCTGGTGACTAATGGTACAGGGCAGCCCGCATGGGACGGGTCCCGCCTGCTACACTCAACAGGATAGAGAAAGAGAGGACGGGAAGTGTCCAGGGGCTGGCACGGGCCGCCCTGGATGCCCTTAAAGAACACACACACCTCAGGGCTGGAGCAATAGCACAGTAGTAGGGAGGGTGTTTGCCTTGCATGCGGCTGACCCAGGTTCGATTCCCAGCATCCCATATGGTCGTAATTCCTGAGTGCAGAGCCAGGAGTAACCCCTGTGCATGCCGGGTGTGAAGCAAAAAGAGAAAGAGAGGAAAAAAAAGAACACACACGCCTCTCAGGCGCACCCCTAAATAAGACACGCCCTGGCCACGCCACGCCCCCAACCAGGCCACGCCCAGCAGACCCGCCCCTCGCTAGGACACGCCCCCAGATCCCCTGGGTAGGCCACGCCCCAAACAGGCCACGCCCAGCAGGTCCGCCCCTCGCTAGGACACGCCCCAGATGCCCTGGGTAGGCCACGCCCCCAAACAGGCCACGCCCATCTGGCCCGCCCCCAATAGGCCACGCCCCCAGATTCCCTGGGTAGGTCACGCCCCCAAACAGGCCACGCCCATCTGGCCCGCCCCTCAATAGGCCACGCCCCCAGATTCCCTGGGTAGGCCACGCCCAGGAAGACCCCACCCCTTCCTAGGACACAACCCGAGCTCTGCACCCAAGGGGACCGCAGGGCAAAGGCGCTGCCACCACTCATGCACCCCGACCCCACGGTGACCCCGGGCTGGGCTGAGGAGCTGAGGGGCTGAGGGGGGAGGACACGCTGTTTCTTCCCTCATCAAAAGGAAAGTGTTGGAGGAACGAAGCTGCCCGTTCCCCCCTGCAGCCCCCAGACCACACACGAGGAGGTCGTGGCCGGGAGGGATCCAGGCCCGCCGGTAGCTTTGGTTGTGGTGACAACTGGCAACAGTCAGCTGCTTCAAGACCCTCAGTGCTGGGGGGAGGGGGACCCCCATGTGGAGAGCATACCACCTGCTGAGGCCTCTCCAGCAGTGGGGTTGGACCACACCCAGCAGTGCTCAGGGCTGACCCCCAGCTCTGTGCTCAGGGCTGACAACAGATACTGTGCTCAGGGCTCACTCCTGGCTTCGTGCTGACTCCCAGATCTGTGCTCAGTGCTGACTCCTGGCTCTGTGCTCAGGCTCACTCCCGGTTCTGTACTCAGGGTTGACTCCCTGCTCTGTGCTCACTCCCAGGGACCTCGGGGGGCCACATGCAGTGAGGACAGCCCACTCATCTGAGTCCTGATTTCTTGACCTCTGAACTCAGTCTCCCCCTCCCCGTTCACTGGGAACAGACGGGTCAAGGTCACTCACTGACGTGCAGACGTGTTTCCCTGAGACGCCAGCACACTCAGCTTCGCCACGCGTGTTCACTCCCCGAACAGTGTCCGAGCACGGCACAGGCCCCCGGGGACGAGTGTCCGGCTTAACAGGCCGATGCGGAGGGCCAGCGGCCACACGGCCTTCTCCCAACAGAGGTGCTCCGGGGACAGACCTGCATTGCCCAGCGACGGTGGGGGTGGCACTTCCCGGGCCAACATGGGCTGGGGGTCTCAGTGAGCACGGAGCAGGGCTGGGACCCTTGCCTCACACAGTCGCACCCCTGCACTCAAAGGCAGCCAGCAGCCCTCCGTCCAGGCCCCGACGGGTGGCTCGATCTACTCTGGAGAAACACCCCCAGGGGTGCAGGTGTGTCTGCCCCTCACAGGGTAGCCACGGGGGTCCCCAGAACCTGCTCTTACCTGCTCCCACGAGAAACAGGCCCTGGGCCGGGTGTGGTGGTGGGGTTCCGTGGGAGGTGCCGTGTGGCCCTGCCTCGGGGGACCCCATTCCCCACTGTGCTTCCTGTCTCAGCCCACACTCAGGGCCCCCGCACAGGCCTGGCCCTCCTGTACCCCAAACTGCCCCTGAGAGCGAAGGGACATCAGAGAGCCTCACCCCCTCACCCTCCCCGGTGTGCCGGGCTCTGCCTCGGGGGAAGGAGCAGCCTGGGGACAGGCGGAGAGGCCGCACCGAGCCCCAAAGCAACACCAGCATGCAAGGAAGGCGGTTCGTGGCTTCCGGGGCCCAGCCAGGCCACCCTGTGCTGTCCCCCCACCCTGGGGCCTGGGCCAGGAGCACTTTAGGGGAGCAGGGCACGGGCAGGACGCGACCCTCCTGGCCACGCGCATGGAAACCTGACGGACGGCACCTGTGCGGGTCCTGGTGCGGGACACACTTGAAGCTGCCAGCCCAGGGGCAGGGGCCGCCAGCTCTGTGTACCTGGCCGGGATACCCCCGACGGTGTCACTGGGAACACGGGTTCCACACAACCAGGCACTCACGGGAGGCCCAGGATGCCCAGAGCCAGGAATGAGGTTCCTCAGTTTGCTCTCCCCATGCTGGGAAACAGGGGTCCTGCATGTGCAAGTGTACACGTGTCTGAGTGTACGTGTGTCTGCATGAATGAGTGTACGCGTGTCTGCATGTTTGAATGTATGCATGTCAGCATGTGTCAGTGTACACATCTGTACATATGTGTACACGTGTCTGTATATGTGTCTGAACACGTGTGAGTATACATGTCTATATGTGTACACGTCAGCATGTGTGAGTGGTCAGTACGTGTGTCTGTGTGACTGTACACACGTCTGTATGTAACCGGTTGGTGTGTACGCCTGTATGTGTGAGTGTATGTATGTCTGTGTGAGTATACAAGTGTCTGTATACATGAGTGAGTGTATACATGCTTGCATGTGTTGTGAGTACAAGTGTCTGTACATGTCTGTGTACAAGTAGTCAGTACGTGTATCTGATGTGAGTCTGCGTGTGTATGTGTGAGTGTACTTGTGTATGTGTGACTGTATGTCTCAATGTGAGTATGTGTCTGTGTGAGCATATGCATGACTGCATGTGTTGAATAGTCAGTACATGTGTCTGTACGTGAGTACACATGCCTATATGTTTGTAAGTGGTCAGTATGTGTATCTGCATGAGTTTGCATGTGCATGCTGAGTGTACGTGTATCTGTATGTGAGTGCACATGTAATTGCATGTGTGAGTGAACATGTATCTGTGTGAATGCAGATGTATATGTGTGAGTACGTGTTATGTGTGAGCATGCGTGTCTGCATATGTGAGTGTACAGGTGTATGAGTGTACGCCTGCATGTGAGTCTACGTGTGTATGTGTGAGTGCATGTGTCTGCATGTGTTATTGTACATGTGTATGAGACTACATGTGTATGTACATGAGCGTACACGTGTATGTGAGTGTACGTATCTGTATGTGTGAGTACGTGCCTGCATGTGAGTGTACACGTGTATGTGTGTACGTGTCTGCATGTGAGCACATGTGTGTATGTGAGTGTACGTGTGTCTGCATGTATGAGTGTACGTGTGTCTGCACGTGAGTGCGTGTCTACGTCTGTGAGCACACGTGTACAGGTGAGTGCCCGCGTGTCCCTATGAGCCAGCAGCGGGGCGTGTGCCCGCGTGCCGAGCCATGTGCGCCCCCGCCCGCCCGCCCGCTGCTCACCGTCCTGGAAGACGCGCTCCACGTTGAGCCCGTACGTGGCGCAGGTCTCGTAGTAGGTGCAGCGCTTCAGGTCGCTGGAGAGCTTGCGCGCGCGGGAGTCGTCGATGACCCGCGGGTTGCTGGAGCTGATGGCGTCTGCGGGAGGGGCACAGGAGAGCGGGGTGAGCTGGGCGGAAGCCCCCTCCCCAGCACACCCTGCCGGCGGGAAGCCCCGACCCGGGGGGAGGGACAGGATGGAGGCAGCAAAGAAACGGCCGCAAACGGAGCGGCCGGGAGGCGCCAGGAGGCAGGCCGTGTCCATCAGGGCCGTGGGGGTCCCTGCAGGGGGGCGGGGGGAAGGGAGCAGGGCAGGGAGAGCCTGGAGGCTGGGGGTGGGGCGGGGGCTGTCAGCTCAGGTGAGTTCACAGGCGGCTAGGAGGGCGGGGAGGGGAACCCCAGGATCTGGGAGGAGCAACAAGGGGCTGCCTCCACCATCGGTGCCGCCATCACTGTCCTGCTCCGGGTCAGAGGGTCTCCTGGGACCCAGAGGTGCTGCAGCCCCATGAGACGTTCGCAGAGGGAGGAAAGCAGCCACGTGGCCCTGGCTGGGTCCTGCAGCGCCGGCCACCCTCGCTGCCCAGCACCTGTGTGGCCGGACGCAGCCCCGCAGGGAATAGCTAGCCCCCACTGCCCGCGGGTCTCAGCCCCAAGCGCCCTGCACCTGTCGGATGGACAGACGGATACCGACACCTTGAAAGAAAACGAGCTCACGGTCCTTGTCACCACAGCCACGCTGCCTCAAGGGCATTCCAGAAGGGTCTCTCCTGGCCTAAGGTCTCGGCCTGTATGGGACCAGCCTGATGTCTAGGGTGGGGGTGTCGGCTCCGGGTGGGGCCTGGGCTACAGCGAGGACAGACTCAGGAGCCCCCTCCTGGCACAGGGGACGGTGTCCCAGCTGAGGTCACGTGTGCCGGTGCCTAGACACCCCCAACCCTGAGTCTGTCTGCCCCTCATTCTCCTACTGCGCTCTGGCGGTACAAGGGTGCCCGGCTGCCAAGCCCACCCAGACAGGAAGCCACAACGAGTGTCCCGAGGGAAGAGTTCGAGAGCCGAGAGCCTGCAGGGAGGCTTCCGGCCACACACCTTCTGGGACGGACACACGCCTGCCAGTTCGGACACACACCTGCCACACACATGCGGGGTTTCCCTCACCTCCTGGGACCCAGCATGATTCTCCGTCGTGTCCCCGCTCCAAGTTCCCTAACCTGAGGCCACCAAGCCAAACCCTGGGGTCACTTTGGCCCCAGCCTGGCCCTGGTCTGGCCCCTCCATGCGTGTCACAGACCGTGACCAGCAAACGGGCCCCGCTGACAGGGCCCGGCACCCCACACCCCTTCCCCACCCCTGGCATTCCAGGAACCAAGGTCACGGGGCAGGACCCCAGTGACAACACCTGCGTCCAGTTCATCCAGGGTCAGGCGTGTGCTGCAGGCGGACATGCTCCCCGCCTTCCCAGCCACCCGCGCTGTGCTCCTGACACTGGGCCGCCCCGTGGCCGTCCGGAACGGGGCACTTGATGAGAACTTCCCCGCATGGCCAAGAGCTTCCCAAGTCAGGGGATTTGCACGGCCCCGTCTGTAGTGGCCCCGTCACTGGAGAAAGCATGGCCTGGGCCTGGGGAAACGGCGGGCCATTCTGGGAAGGGTTTTTCTGCAAAGTGTCAGACAAGCGCACACAAGGCGCCAAACCCTTCCCTGGCGGGAGCAGCAGACGGCACTCCGGGGGGCCGAGAGCCAGTCGGAAGCACCATCTGGAATCTGGGGGCGTTCGGGCTTAGGTGTTTTTCCCATTTTGGCATTTTGGGTCACACCCAGCGATGTTCAGCGGTTCCTCCTGGCGCCGCGCTCAGGAATCGCTCCTGGCGGTGCTTGGGGACCAGAGAGGATGTTGGGGACCGAAGCAGGCTCAGCCCCATGCAGGGCAAGCGCCCTCCCCGCTGTGCCATCCCTCTGGCCCTGGCACTGGGACTTTTTGAGGGAACAACATCAAGTCCTATCTGCGGGAAGGGGACAACAGCAACCACTGAATCGGCCTGGGGATGTCCTGGGCCCGGGGGACCAGGAGGCCTGGGGGGATTGGGGGAGCATGGGGGTCTAGCCCAACCCCAGCACAGGTTCGGGGGCGTGTCGTGGGCACAGGGCCGAGAGGAGGGCTAGGGAGCCGGGGCTGTGTGCAACCAGCACCCCAAATTGCACGCCCACCACTCCACACTGCCGTGTGAGCCGGCAGGACCATGAGAGCACACACACACACACACACACACACACACACACGCATGCACACAAACACGCACACAAGCACACACACAACAGCTATGTATGGGTACGCACACGTGTATACACACACCAGGACACACACGGTCTCCCTCTGCTCAGAGACGCCCTGGGCCGGTCCTCACTGCCAACAACAGCCCCCTGCAAGCAAGGCAGCAGCCCCCAGCAGGAACGAGCTGCCCGGCTGTTGGACAGGACGGTTTTCCTGGCCGGGAATTCCCAACCCCCAGCCCAGCGCAGGCTGGACCTTCCCTGAGGTGCTTTGTTCGCGTGGCCACTGGGGGGCGCCCGAGGCCGTCTGTGGGAGGCTCCGCCACAAACCCACGGATAAGGGGGGGGGGGGGCGGGGTCGTCCAGGACCGCACAGGGGAAGGGGCTCCCCTCTCACCCGCGCCAGTCTCTCTCTTGGCCGATGCCCAGATGCCCATGCAGACACGCTCTGGGGTTCTACTCATGGGTACGGCGGGGGGTGGGGGCTCTTGACCTGCTGCATGTGGCCCATGTGTGCAGCGCTGGGGAGGGGGCGATGACGTCACCATGCCAGGGCCAGCCTGGTGTAACCCGGGAGGAGAACGGGAAAGGTGCCCACACCAGGGGCGTGTGCCCGCAGGCCCTGCCACGTCCCTCGTGAGATCCCGCCGGAAGACAGTGACGGGCAGAGCAGAGTGCAATGAAGCCAGACACAGGCGGGGGCCGGGCCTGAACGGGGAGCGACACCGTGGCGGGGAGGGCCCTTGCCTCGCACGTGGCGGCCCGGGATGGATCTCCGACGCCCTGTGTGCCTCGCAGGGCCCGCCAGGAGTGCCCTGAGCACTGCTGCTCCAAAACGGAGACATTAAATAAAACCACCTTTGGGGGAGCTGGCAAACCACTTGGCTGAGCGGAGAGGGACCTACCAGGAAAGCCAAGGTCGGGCCTAGCCCGGGAGAGCCGTGGGCTCAGACCGCGCTTCCTCACGCGCCCCTGAGCGCTGAGAGAGACTCCGTGAGCACAGAGGCAGGAGTAAGCCTGAGCGGCCCCTAGGTGTTGCCCCCTAACAAAATCGCAAAACCAAATTAAGAGTCAAGTACATTTCTTCTAAATGTCAGGGAGTCAGGGAGCACGTGTGTACACGCGTGTGCACGCGTGTTCATGTATGTGCACCCGGTGTGCCACGGCCGTGTGACGTTGTCTCCCTAGAGCCACACCGGAAGGAGTGACCACTCATCTCTGTCCCGCGGCCCCTCGCTCTGGACGGGAGTTGCGGGAGGAAACCACGCTCTTCCCTGACCCGGGGGCAGACCCCACCCCGGCTACGCCCAGTGGGACTCGGGCCCCTGACTCACCCTGGGTGCCCACCAGGACCAGGGGGATGTCGCTGGTGTTCCGGAAGTTGGCCATGCGGCTGTAGTAGTGGTAGACGGTCTGGAAGCTGATCTCATCCTCCAAGCTGAAGACAAAGATGACAGCGTCCACCCACATGGCAAACTAGGGACGGGAGAGCAGAGGCCGTGCGTGAGTGAGGGGCTGGGGGGGCCACGCGCCCACCGAGCCACGCGGGTCTTTGGCGTCCTCCTCCCTCCCCAGAGAGCTGACCCTGGGCCGGGAGGAGCCGGGACACAGAGCAGGGCCTCGGGCCCTGGGTCCTGGTGGCACAAGGGATGCCACGGGCAGAGCCACGAGGGGCACCACACACAGTGCCACGCACAGCCCGAAGCATAACACCGCCAGCAGCACCGTGCACGCCCCACCGGGCCAGGAGCAGAATCCCAGCGGCACCACGAGCCGCCCCACAAAGGGTCACACCAGCCCCATGCAGAACACCCACCATGCGAGGAAACACACATGGTGCCTTCCGTGGTACTGCATGCAGAACCACGCACAGTACCACTCATGATACTGCAAGCAGAACCACGCACAGTACCACCTGCGGTATCGCATGCAGAACCACACACAGTACCTCGTGCAATACCATGCACCCAACCATGAGCCTCGAGACACGTAGCCCCACACACAGTGCCAAGAGCAGTACCACGTACAGCACCACATGGAGTACCACGTGCAGTACATGTCGCACCCCATGCAATATGTGCAGTACCACATGGAGTACCACGCGCAGTGCCACATGCAGTGCCACATGCAGGACTATGCAGCCAAGCACCAGCAGTCCCACGCCCAGCACCACGAGAATCCACATGTGACGAGCAGCCCAGTGCTGCTTCCCAACAGGACAGGAATAAAAGGGCGGCCTTATCCCGGCACAACACAGCGCCCCCCTGTGGGCCTCAGGGGAAACGCTCCTTCCCAGAGAAAAGTGCCCCCCAAAGTCAAAAAACGTCGGGGTCCTGACTGCGGAGCTGGGGGCTGTGCGAGCTTGGAAGTGAGGAGACGCCCCCGCCCGCCCATTTACAAAAAAGAAAAAACGCGCCAATATCAGACATGGCAGGCAAGACTGTCAGCGGCCATGCAACCCCTTTGGGAGGCTGGGGAGGGCGGCCCTGCGAGGACCTGGCCTGTGGGCGCTGCCCTCTGCCCCTGCCCCACGCCCAGGGCAGCTGCCCGACCCCGCCTGAACCCGGCTCCGGCAAGGCCACAGCTGTGCCCACAGATGCCGCCGTCAGCTCCCACTTGTCTCACCAGACTGACCCGCCAGGCCAAGGGCCGAGAACCTCAGCTCCGCCCTCTGACCTGGGGGCACCTTGCATGGGGTCTGGGACCCCTCGCCTGAGAGCGGGCACCTCTGGACGGGAGCATGGGCGGCTTCCAGTCTCCCCGAACCTCCCAGCATCTTCCAGAACTTTCCAAAGCTCCACCAAGAACGCTCTTTGCTCAAGGCACCAGGAAACGGCCCGGATGCCACCCAGCAGCTCTGATGCCACGACAGCCCTCACCTCGGCTCCGGGCCAGGCACGGGCGACCACGTCCTCCCGGCTGCCCGCCTGGCTCACGGCCACTGGCGCTCGAACCCACAGGCTGTGGCGGCTCACAGGGAGCTTTTGCAGAAGGGAGCAGAACGCAGCGAGGGAACCCCCCGCCAACACTCCGCTCTCATCGCTCGGAAACTGCTCTCCACTTCCACGCAGAGGATTGTTCCAGAATGCCCAGCCCTCCTGGGACAGAGCCCTGAGCATGCTGGGCCCAGGGCCCCCTGAGCGCCTCTGAAGGCTGGAGCCAGCCCACCCGAGTCAGACGCTAAACTCAACTTGGTGAAGACAAAACAAGAAAGGCTCCGACCCTCAGCTCCCGGCTTCTGGAACATTCTCCTGCTTCCCCCAGCAGCTGCCCCAGGCAGAGACGCTGCCGCCAACGAACAAGCCCCTCAACTTCGCAGATCCCAGCGCCCGAACCAAGGTGGGACGGGAACCTGGGGCGGGGAGGGGCAGCGAAGACCGTTTCCTCCTCGAGACCCCGGGCGGGTTTCTCGGCCCCCCTGGTAGGAGCAGAGAGCCAGGAGGGAGACGGCGGGCACCCACCTGTGCTTCCGGGGGTCCCCCTTCATCCCGGATCAGCAGCAGGTAACTCTGTCCGTCCACCACGATCTCCTTCTTGAAGCGGCCACCTGCCACACAGAGGCGTGTTACTCGGGGAAGGCAGCGGGAACAGCGGACAGGCGTGGGCTTCGCTTGGGGGGCAGCGAGGGGGGGTGGGCTGGGGTCCCCGGGTGCGGCCGCCGCGGGCTGCGGGAGGGTCGTGGGCTGGGGGCGAGGCAGCGCCCCTGAAGGGACTCGCTTTGGGGGAGGGGGCACAGAGTCCAACATGGGGGTGGGCTCTATGCAGCCGGGGCCCGGGCAGGGGGCTGGGGGGACGGTCTTCTCCTCCTCAAGGGAAACCCAGTGCTGGGGGCCGCGGGGAGGGGTCGGGGGGGCACACAGAACATCACGGGGACGCAATGGTCACTAGCACACGGAGGGACAGAGGACAGGAGGAGCCGGCAGTGGGCGGGGCTGCCGCGGGCAGGAGAGACCAGGCGGGTTAGCGGGCGAGAGGGGCGGGGAGGGGGCCCTAGACATCTGTCCCCAGGCCTGGGGGAGGGAGGGCGCTCGGCAGGGCCCCCAGGTCACGGTTCATCCCGCTGTCACCGGGACCTTCGGGGCTGGTGGGGAGGGGGACACGGGGCGGCACCCCAAGGCCTGGGCACACACACGCCTTCCGGAACCTTCCGTCTTTGGCCCTTGCTCATCACCAGATACCCTCCAGGACTGGACGCTGGGCATGGGGGGAGGGCGGCACTGGCCGAGACCACCTATCCCAAGGCCGGGGGGGGGCTGCTCCTCCCTGCACCCGAGAAGCAGAGACCTGGGTCCCCTGCTGTCCCCAAGCTACAGTGCTGGGCCCTGCTGATGGGTGGGCGGCCTCCAGAAGCAGCGTCCACGCGTGGACACGCACATGTGCACATACACGCACACACGTGTGCACACACTCCCTCTGCCCCGCGTCTGTGACGCCTGAGGGGCCCCAGGCACACCGACCATCACCGCCAACCCACCCCCCCTTGAGGGGGCAGGAGCACGGGGTGGCCACAGCATCCGCGCCAGCACCCACCCCACGCCGAGGGCCGCCATCCAGGGAGAAGCAGACACAGGTGGGGAGTGGGGGTGCCCACTGGCCGGTTGCTGCCCACGTCTGCTCCCGACTTCCAGAAAAAAAAAAAAACGCCGGAAACTGGGCATCTCTTGGGGAGACCCACGGACGCCAACCTACTGCATCTCCATGCGATGCGGGAACTTCTCCACAAAACCTTCCCTGGTCCCACACGCCCCGAGAGGCCCCCCGTGGGCACCCCGGGCGGGCACCGAGACGTGGGCCTTGGACGACCACCCCTGGGCAGGAGGCCCGACAGGTCGCGTGCCAGGAGCAGGTACACGGGGAAAACCTCAGGCAAGAGGCGGCGGGGCGGGGGGGGTGGGGGGGGAGACCCGTCTCCCCACACCTCTGCACCGGCCCAGACCCGTGGCTCACCCCTGTCTCCCCACCAGCAAACACCCCGGCTCGGGGGGCCGCTGCCCGCCTGTCCCCAGGCTGGGAAGCCCTGACCGGGCCCTTCGCCACCCAGCGCCCCCAAGAGCTGGGCGCCTGTTTCCACTTCACAGAAGAACATGAGTTTCCTCACTTCGTAGGGAAGAAGAAGGCGCCGCTGGGTGTGGGTCCCACGCAGATGTCTCTCTCTCTCTCATGGGGGAGCCACGCGCCCAGGAGTTGCTCCCTCCAACACGCCCTCCCCGGCTGCAGGGGGACAGTGAAGTCACACCCCAGAAACAGGGGAGACCCCGCCAAGCCACAGGGATCACGAGAAGGTCACAGATGCCAGGGGATGGGGGCTCACTCCACTCACGGCCCCCAGACCCGCCCCGGGGACAGGCCGAGCTCGGGATGGCGCTGGTATTGAATGAAGACGCTGGTTCCGTTCCCAGGGGGCCTCGGGATGGGGGTGCAGAGGGGGCATTTCTCTGGGAAAAGTGTTTCCGCCTTTCGACCCCAAATCCCCACCTCCTTCCCTTGGCACGAACGGCCCCGCTTGCTTCCGAGCGCAGAGCCACCGGCCGAGGCTGCGAGTCTTTCTCACCAGGACAGTATTATTTTTTTTTTCCTACGTTAAATCACAAAGCGTGCCAAGCAACAAAGACTTTTTAAAATTAATTTTGTACTTGTTTCGCTTTGACACAAACACCAGAGGGCGGGAAGTCATTAGCGCTGTGCTGTGCGCCTGGGGAGAAGTTTTCTATTGTGACATGTGAAAGGAATCTTGGACCCAGCGAGAGACTCCGACCCTGGGAAAGGGTTTGATTGGTAACATATTCATTTGCAAAAGGGAACCGAATCCGGTGGTTTCCATCCCGCCTCCAGGTTCTGTGGCCCAACTCGCAAGGTTTGAGCTGCAGATCAGGGGCCAACCCGGGTGGGAGGCCTGGGCGGGTCCCTGGCTCCACCCAACCCCCCATAGCACCCCCAAAAATCACATCAGCCACGAGAGCAAGTGGGGACCCTCGTCCCGCTGGCCGGAGCTTCAGGATGAGGCACCCGGGGCCGGGGCAGCAGAGGTGGGGTGTAGCTCCATCAGTAACGGCCCCGTAAGTAACGGCCACTCTCAATCCCAAGGCGAGGGACACACGAGAGCAAGTGGGGACAGCGGCTGGCCGTGCTGCCCACTGGACACTCCTATACTGGCTGTCCTCTGGGTCCCGCCCACCGTTTGGGGTACAAGGAGACCAGGCCAGGGAATGAGAAAGGGACATTGACGAGAGGCAGAGCTGGGGCGGGGAGGGCAGGTTTGGGGGCTCCGTGTCACCCAGGGAAGGCGGCAGGGGTGGGCACGTGTGTGGGGGGACAGCGACTCTCCGAGGGGCCCAGGGCAGCCCAGGGGGTCCCCTGCCGGCTGCGGCTCCTGTTCAAACATGTGAGGGTGCCCTTCCCACCTTTGCCCGCCCGAGGGCAGCCAAGACGGGCCACGGCAGTGCCTGGCTGGGAGCTGCCCGTGTCTCCGGCCACCTGGTTCCAGGACACTTCCGGGCCAGCAGCATCACTGCCGTAACCTAAGGGGGCCTGTCCGGGCTGCCTCCAGATCCACGTCCCCCTCCGAGAGGGTGTCGGTGCCAGGAACCCCCGAGAGCTGGAGAGAGCCCCAGGCGATGCCAAGCCGGGGTCCCGTCAGAGCTGCCGTCCCAGGCCCGTGCCCAGCCGCTTCTCCTGGAGCCGCGGGCTCAGCTGCCGTGCCAGCCTCCAGGGCAGCGGCCATCCGAGGTCCCCTGCCACCTCGCGTCCATCTCCAGGCTCCTCAAGGACCCCCGGCTGCAGCCTGAGTCAAGGAGCGGTCACCCCGCTTCCCCATACCCCCACTTCTCCAGCCGACCCAGCCCACCCGAGGCCAACACACTGTACCTCAGTTTCCCCAGGCCCAGTTGACTAGGACCCCCCCCCCTTAGTAGTCACTTGACTGGTCATCAGAGAGCAGGGAGGGTGTCCTCATCCCCTGGGGCGGGGTCACGTCCACACGAGCAAGTGACGGGATTGGCCCAGCCGGGGTCACGGGCTGAGCTCAGCCAGGCAGAGGGGGGGCCGTGAGAGTGGACCGGGCCGTCTCAGAGTGGGCAGTCTGACACCAGAGGGACACTAGGAGACAGGGCAGTGGCCCCCAGGTCAGAGACAGCTGACCGAAAACGAGCGGTCACGTGTGTCCAGGTGCAGGACAGATTCGGTCCCCGCCATCCCGGAGACCAGGAGGAGAGAGGGAAAGCCGTCACGTGACCCCTAACCACTGACCTGACCTTACTTCCTGTCCCAGGGAAGCCGCTGGCTCTCGGCTCTGCCCGGGGAAGGTTCTAGGTCTGGGAGAAGCGTGCGCTCCAGTTCCAACTGCTGGCAGCCACCACTAACCTCGGCCGTTTCAGTGCCTCGTGTGTGGCCGACAGACCAAACCGCTCACACCACGGCCAACATCACGGCGGGCAGAGAACCGCCAACGCTGCCCCTGCGCACAACACGCCAGCCTCGCACGCCTGCGTGTGCACCCACACACACACACAACTGCACACACCCACCTCACCCACACACTCCTGCACACACCCACCCGCACACAACACGCCTGCCTCACACCTCCACGTGAACATACCTGCCGTGCACACCGACACACACACACACACACACACACCCGAACACATAGACACGTGCACAAAAACATATCTGCAAACCTGCATGTGCCCACAACCTGAGCATGCCTGAAAATGCGCGCATACACACACACACACACACACACACACACCTGAACACAAGCACAGCCGCACACATACACACCTGCACACACACCGCAGGCTAAGGCTTCATACGAGACCTGCCAACTAAGGACGAGGCTCGTGTCACAACTGTCCACGGCTGCACCCCTGCTCCAGCTGACCCCGGCCTGGGGGTGCGTGGGTCCTTCTTCCTTCCTCCCTCCCTTTTCTGCTTCCTTCCTTCCTTCCTTCCTTCCTTCCTTCCTTCCTTCCTTCCTTCCTTCCTCCCTCCCTTCCTTGTTTTCAGGACACTCAGCAGTGCTCAGGGTTGACTCCTGGCCTGGTGCTCAAGAGACTCGAAGGGATGCCGGGACTGACGCGGGGTTGGCCGCACCCCAGGCAGATGCCCTCCCCGCTGTGCTCCCGCCCCGCCCCTGGGCTTTCTGCTCTTTCCGGAAAGCTGTCCACTGGGGTGCCCGGCCCTGGAACGGGGGCCCCTGCATGGAGCAGGCCGGGGCCTGACTGGCAGACGACCCTCGCTAGCCTCCGGCCGGTGCTCACAGCTGTACAGCCGCCCGGTGGATGGGTCCCACCAGGCCGCCCCGTGGCGAGCGGGAACCAGCCCCACTCCGGGACAGAGGCAGCCGCGCTCTGGTCGCGCCTGAACTGTGTTCGACTTGGGAAGGGGGGGGGGGGCTCGCAGCTGCTGGGCGTCCCCCACACTGTTTCTGGGTTCCCAGGCAGTACGGGACAATGAGCTGTGCCGGAAGGGCCTGGGAGGCTGGGACGCAGCGGCAGGGCCCCCGCGGGCAGGCGGGGACAGCGGGACGGACGCAGGACAGCCCGCCCAGGGCCTTCCACGGGGTCAGAGTAGCGAGTGGGCCGGGGACCCCTCTGCCGCTGTGTGCCACGGGCCAGTAAGACCTCAGAGCGCAGCCTTGCACAGGGGACCTGGAGCAGGTGCTGCCCCCTCCCCGCCCCACCCCTGCAGGTGCTGCCCCCCCTCCCCCTCCCCCACAGGTAATGCCCCCTCCCTCTGCCCCCCTCCCCCACTGTGCAGGTGCTGACCCTTCCCCCTCCCCTATAGGTGCCGACCCCTCCCTCCTCCCCCACTATGCAGGTGCTGCCCTCTCTCTCCCCACCCCACCCCTGCAGGTGCAGACCCTTTCCTCCTGCACCCCCCCCCACCTCCACGTAGGTGCTGACTCCTCCCTCCTCTCCCCTCCCCGACCCCCACCTATGCAGGTTCTGACCCTCCCTCCTGCCCAGGGCAGGTAGGCTCCACCTCCAAGGACCCGCTCAGCTCCTCCTGGGTCGGGAAGGCATGGGGAGCCCCCGGGATGTGCCAGGAGGCTGGGGGGTGGGGGGGAGCAGGGCACCAGAGCAGAGGCCGAAACCCAGGCACAAGGTGGGCCCAGCTGGCTGGGCGGGGGCAGGGCCGTCCACGGCGAGTGGGCTGCCAGAAATGTCACTGGTCCCCGTGGTGTGGGTGTCAGCTCACTGAGGACGCGCCATCCGCCAGTGATCCTGCGCACGGCCTGCAGGGTGTCAGGGCTGAGCAGCCGCCAACATGCTCCCTGGACCCCTCGGGGGCCAGCAGGATGGTGCCCAGGGCAGCAGGAAGAGGAGCAAGGCCCCGAGGACACTGTGGGTCGGGGGCAAACCGCTCCCGCCCCTCCCACCGCCCCCACGGCCAGGAGTGTCCCCCTTCAGACAAACCTCCCTCCTGGAAAGCCACACCACAGCCCCCTGGACTGCGGGCAGGTGGGCCTGAACCCCACCCCGTCCAGCTTTCCTGACCCCAGGCTCTCCCCCAGCGTCCCCAAGTCCGTCCGTCTCCTCACGGATCACGACAAACGTCACTGGAGCCAGAGGGTCCCGGGGCCCATCCCGCCCCCACCCCTGCGGCCCCTCCCCGAGGCTTGAGGGACGGTGACAGACGCTAGGACGGAGTTAGGGACCAGAACACGTGTTACGGGGGACACAGCAAGCTACTGAGAACTACTGCTAGAGACACAGCAGAGGGACAGACGGGTGAGATGGTCAACGCGGAATGGGCGAGGCGCGGATGGACGCGAACGCATGAGACATAGGACAGGGGCGGGCACGGGACACAGCTCGGCCTCCGGGCTCGCACACACAGCGCAGCCGTGAAGGGGACGGATAGTTACCTGCGTCCATATCTGCAAAGAATGGAACAGCCAGTGAGAAAAAGAAGGAACCAGAAATTCAGTGTCTCAGAGTCAGAGTTTCACACGTTCACGCGGAGAAAAATAATAATAATAAAAAAAGAAGAATCAAAGAGAAAACTGTTGTCTGGGCCAGACTGAGAGCTCGCCGAGGGGCGGGGCAGGGCGTTAGCAACACCCGTGGGCTCCGCGGTGGGGGACGGGAGGTGGAGACGGTGCCTGAGAAAGTCTGACGGCAAAGAAACACCTTCCCGGCGTGGAAAACGGTTCGTCTTTCTCATCTGGTCTATTCGGGCACGGAGGTGGCAGCTCAGAAGCTTGGGTACGGCCAGCCACCAGAGCCCGGCGTCCAGGGCCGAGACTCGGCACCCACGGCCACCGGAGCTGGGCACGCCCGGGCCAGCCTCCTGCAGCTAAGGATCGGCACGGTTCTCGTGGCCCAGGCCAGGGTGAAGGGAGCCCAGGCGCCACGGAGATGCTCGGACACCGCCCTGACGGGCCCGAGCCGTGCTCAGACCCCACCCACTGCCCACGTGAGCCTGCGTCAGAAAGCACCACGGAAGCCACGCTCTCGCTAAGGGCTCCCCCTCCCGCCTCGCCTGGACTGTGCCGTTGGGAGTGGGAACAACCCGTGGCCCTCGGCAGCCCCGGGACTGCCCAACCCACACGTACCTTCTGGAGACTCTTCCTGGACGTAGGTGCCCGTCAGGTACCGGTGCACCAGGGCCGACTTCCCGCTGGCCAGGTTACCCACGATCCCCTGCAACAGAGACGGGGTGGGTGGGTCTCTGCACACGGAGACGCGCACGGGGGCAGCGGCCACCAACCCCCGTCCCAGCCGAACTAGGATGGACGGACGGATGGACCTCACGACGTCCTCCACAGCCCACGTGGCAGCTCCGGCTTGAGTACCCAAGCTGCCGGGCGCGTCCCTGCAGACCATGGCAGGGACACATCAGCAGGCAAAGGTGGGTAGGCCGGGACACAGCCCCAAGCCATGCCCTGGACAGGAGGTCCTTCTAGAACATTCCATCATGGCCAGTGAGGCGGGGGGAGGGTGGCATCTTGGAGCTGGGTCCATGCAGAGGGGCAGGGCCACACGTGGCCAGGACAAGGCCCCTCTGGAACTCAAGCCCGCCACCGCAGCTGACCTGGACAGGTGGCCTTGCCCGGGGCTCCGGCCCCACACCTGTCCCCAGAGGCTCATACCAGTGCCGGCATCTTAACCGTTTCCTTCCCTGCCGGGACGCTCCAGGCTATAATGAAACCTGGTGGAGCCAGGCCTCAAAGGGCAGGAGACGCAGGCCCCTCCTGGCCACAGGCCCGTGTCCACTCTGCAGCCTGGCCAGGGCCAAGCCCCCGCCTGCACTGTGTCCCTGTGGCCCAGAGATGAGCCGAGGGCCCCTGACACTGTCCCACCGCCCCAGTGGACACACGCTGAGACTTCCTGCCCTTCCCACCGGGCCCCAGGCCCTGCTATACTCCGGAGCCTCCGTCTCAGCAAAGCCAGACGCCAGAACCTCGTCACAGCCCCCAGAACCTCGTGATGCTGCCGCCCTCCGGGTCCCGGGGGTGGCCCTGCCCTGGGATGGTCCAGGTCGCCCCACTGCCCAATGCCAGGCGCACGGGCACCCCCTCACCTGGTCAACCAGTCCTGTCTTATGACCCCATGTCCATCGGTCTCTCTAAGCCCACTGCAGCCAGAAGTCATGGAGACCCCAAAACACTGTGTGGGCAGACGGTGGGGTCTGTGGGGGCCAGGGCCCAGCCAGGAACTCACGGTCAGGGAGTTCCGAGATCCTGGGGGTGCCAGCCTGGCTCTCAGAACCTGCCAAGATGCGCCTCTCTCCCACGTGGAGGACCACGAGTGTCGCCCCCAAACCCAGGCGCAGGCTGAGGGCTGGTGTGGCGCTGCGCTCCCGTGGCCCTCGTCTTGGCGGGGCTCCCTCCTCCCCTCTTGACACCTTGGGGTCTCCAGCTTCACACGCCCACCAGGCCGTGACCCGAGATAAGAGGGTCCCGGCCCTAACACCCCCCACACCCCAGCCCCTGTGGCCAAGAACTGGTGTGAGACCCCCCCCCAACTGGGTCCCACACATCCCAGGCCTCCAGAATCGCAGGAGACACCTGGGGACCTCGGGAGCAGGGGCGGAGGGACGTGCAGAGAACAGCACCAACAGAGAGAGACAGAGACAGAGAGACAGAGATACAAAGAGAGAAACAGAGACAGAGAGATAGAGACACAGAGAGAGAAACAGAGACAGAGAGAGACAGAGACAGAGAGAGAAAAACAGAGACAGAGACACAGAGAAAGAAACAGAGACAGAGACAGAGAGACAGAGACAGAGAGTGACAGAGACAGAGAGACAGAGACACAGAGAGAGAAACAGAGACAGAGAGTGACAGAGACAGAGACAGAGACACAGAGAGAAACAGAGACAGAGAGAGACAGAGACACAGAGAGACAGAAAGGAAAACAGAGACAGAGACACAGAGAGAGACAGAGACAGAGACACAGAGATGAAGAAAGAGAGAAAGAGAGAGGGAGAGAGAAGGGAGATAGAGACAGAGACAGAGAGACACACACACAGAGAAGGAGACAGAGAGAGAGAGAGAGAGAGAGAGGAAACACACAGGGTTTCCCCTTCCATCGTCCTCATTCGACAGCCCCCACCCTGGGCCACAGGGCTGCAGCCCCGTCCCTAACTCAGCCCCTTCTGCAAAGTGCTGTGGGGGTCCCGGGGCCCCACCCCCACGGCCCCTCCCCTGCTGAAAGCGTCCTGCTCCCAAGGCTTCCAACGGCCTCCAGCTGCCCCTGTATCTGCGTCAGTGCACGGGGACACCCCAAAGGCTGACAGCCCCAGGGCAGGAGGGTCTCCTCGGCTCGGGGTCTGCGCCCACCCTGGTGACTCCTCACCCCGTAAGGGCCGCAGTACCTGGCTGGAGGAACGAGGGCAATGAGGGAATGAGGGAATGAATGAATGTGCGAATGAATGAGAGAAAATGAATGAGGGAACAAATGAATGAGGAGCTAATGGGAGGACGGCGGTCTGGAGGAATGGAGAGTCCGAAGGGGCAAGGGAACATGAATGAGGGAATGAGGGACTGAATGGGGGAAGGGCGTGAGCAAATGAGGGTGAGAGTGAGGGAATGAATGACGGAGACAAACCCGCGCCACCTCGCCCGGGCTCGCCGCTGCTCTGCCCGAGGGTGGAGGCTTCACGCTGAGGAGATCCCCAACAGTCTGCCACCAAATTAAATTTTTAATTAAGATCCGAGCGTCTCTCTCCCGAGGAGGGAACAACGCTGGAAACCAAACCTGGAGCCACCTGGCTCTGGGGCGGGGCCGTCCGCGCCCCTCGGGGGGCCGGGTTGTGCCCACCCATGGGGCTGGAGCCAGCCTTGAGCGTGGCCACACACGCTGGCAGCACCAGGAGGCCGTGACGGGCTGGGCTAGACTGTCCACAGGCCTCTCCAGGCACCTCAGGGTGTGGCATGCACAAACACACACACACACACACACACACACACACGTGCACACACACTGGACCCCCCCTACCACACGGACATGCACACAGAAGGTATGTGCACACATGCTCTCTCTCACACACACACACACACACACACACACACACACACGGAGACACACGCCCCTCCCACCCTCCCTCGGGGAGACGCAGGAACAGAGGCTGAGACGGCCCCGAACGTGAGTGTGTGACCTGGGAGCTCCGGGCAGTGCTGACCCCCGCGGGGCCGCAGCCACAGTGCCGGGAGTCAGGGGCTCTCCCGGGGAAGGTTCCACGCCAGCCGCAAGTGCCCACCGTACGCTTAGATTCTGTGACTGGTTGCGTGGAGAAGTTTATAATAGAAGCAAAATTTTTCTTTAAAAAAAAATTCCGGGACAAGGGCCAGAGCAATAGTACAGCAGCGTAGGGCGTTTGCCTGGCATGTGGCCGAGCCGGGTTCGATCCCCGGCATCCCATATGGTCCCCCGAGCACCGCCAGGAGAAACTACTGAGTGCAGAGCCAGGAGGAACCCCGGAGCATCGCCGGATATGACCCAGAAAGCCAATAAACAAATAAAACAAATGATTTCGGGACCTCACCCAGCAGGGCTCACACTACTTCCCCGCTTGCTCGGAGCTCGGGGGTTCCCCAGCAGTGCCAGTGATGGAGCCCAGATCCCCTCCCTGGAACAGATCACACCCTGTCAGCCCTCTGCGCTCTCTCTTATGCCAACACCCGGTAATAAAATCATATTTGGGGCTGGAGCAATAGCACAGCTGGTAGTGCATTTGCCTTGCATGTGGCTGACGCAGGTTCGATTCCCAGCGTCCCATATGGTCCCCCGAGCACCGCCAGAGTAATTCCTGAGTGCATGAACCAGGAGTAACCCCGGTGCATCGCCGGGTCTGACCCAAAAAGCAAAAAAAAAAAAAAAAAATGTCGTATTTTAGGGATATCCACCAAAGCCTGATGGGCCTCTCCAGAGACATGCGGACATGCGTGGGTCCTGCAGAGGAAGGATACAGGACCCCAGGTGGGTGACTGTGAGAGCAAGGCTCTCTCACAGGCACGCACATGGACAGATCCACATGCACACACGCACACCCTCACGCACCCTCACGCATAGACTCTCACGCACACAATCACACATACACGTGTCCACACCCATGCACACACGAACACTCAATGCATGTATGTAGGAACACATGCACACACACATACACACGCACATACCCACCCACGCACACGCACAGTATGCATGCACACACAGTCCTGAAGGGGGACGTGGCCGGAAGCCCCCCACCCCCGCCACAAGGCCACCTGGGGGAGCAGCGGTGACCGCCAGGACAGGCGCACTCGGGACTCCGGCCCCAGGTCCCCCAACCCTTGTCCGGAGGCTCAGCGGGCCAGCGGGGACGGGGACAGAGGGGCACTCACCACTTTGAGCTCCGGGACCGAGCGACTCAGCGTCCATTCCTGGCTGTTCACGAAGGCGTCTGTAAGACAGCAGAAAGCGGGGTGAGTGGCGGGGGTGCCCGGAGGCCCTGTGGAGCCCACACGCCCACCCGCAGAGCCCCCCACCTGACAAGCCGCACCTGCCGCCCAGTCTCAGCCTGGGCTGACGACCAGCCCAGCCCACCCCACTGGGGGCGCCCAGCACGGCCCGACGCTCCGCCCTGCCCTCCCACAGTCAGGTCGTGGCCGTCGCTCTGGGCCACCCTGGGCAGAGCCCACCCGGGGTGACGACGCGGCACTGATGTCAGCCATCAAGCACGCCACAATGTCTGATGGCTCAGAGAACCGCATGGTTGAGTTTTGATGGTCACAGCTGGTCAGTCACAAGCCCAGCAGCACCTGAGGACACGGTGAGTGCCAGGGCTCCTCGGGCACTCCGGCACCCACCCTGCTGCCCACCATCGGGCCACAGCTGCTATCCGGCCTCTCCCGCAGGGGACAGCAGCGGGGAGCCCCCGCCCCACGGTGGACACACCTCTCCTCCCTGACGGATCCACACAGCCCACCAGCCAGGGACAGAGCCCAGAGCGTCTTCATATGACACGAGAACACAGGCACGGAAGCCAGTGACACCAAAGAAACCCACCCCCCACCCCAACTTCCGGGATCAAAGCCCCGTTCTGACAACCCCTCTGGGCTCATGGCCGCCCTCAGAGCTGAGCTGCCCCCAGCCGGAGTGCAGGGGACACGGCCACGCTGGAAGGACAGACACGTCTGCTGGCCACGTAGCTGGGAGAAAGCGTTCGTGTGCGTGTAGGGACGTGGGCGTGTGTGACTCTGCGTTTGCATGTACGTGAATCCACGCGTGTGTGCATGTGTGGGTCTAAACGTGCATGTAGACCGGCATACATGCCTGTGCACATTCATACATATGTGCTTCTGCATGTGTGTTCACACGTGTGGATCTGTATGCACACACGTGCATCCAGGCGAGCACAAAGGTGTTCCCAAAGCAGCTGGAATCCAGTCGCTCACTCCGGAGCGGGTCTCCTGGCCCAGACTCAATCAATTCCCCCGCTTGGAGTGAGTGAGACTGAGACGACGGGAAATGGGGCAGGCAGTGCGCATGCGGAGTCCTGCGTTTGATCGTGGCGCTGCACCCCCCTCCCCAATACTGTCTGCTGCCCCGTTCTGCGGACTCCAAGGGCTGCCCAGTGCCTGGAGACCAGCAGTTAAGGGAAGAAGCTACTTGGTACTTTCCACTACCACGGAACCAGCTAATTCCGTCCCACCCCTTAAAAGTGTAAGTCACAGAGTAAATTTAAGAACTACCCAATTGGTGAGCAAGAAGAAAGCCCCAGTCGCCCCCAGCCAGACCCGGTGGGCAGCCAGAGAAAAGCTGACCTGCAGGGGGTTGGGCGTGGAGCCCCGCCCCCGCCTCAGGCTCCGCCCCCGCCTCAGGCTCCTCCCAGTCACAGGCCCCGCCCTCAGCTCAGGCCCCGCCCTCAGTCCCAGGCTCCACCCCAGCCTTAGGCTCCTCCCAGTCCCAGGCACCGCCCTCAGCTCAAGCCCCGCCCCCAGTCCCAGGCTCCACCCCAGCCTTAGGCTCCTCCCAGTCCCAGGCTCCGCCCCTAGGCTCAGGCTCCACCCCAACCTTAGGCTCCCCACAGTCCCAGGCTCCACCCCAGCCTTAGGCTCCTCCCAGTCCCAGGCTCCGCCCCCGGTTCAGGCTCCGCCCCCGCCCCAGGCTCCGGCTCCGCCCCCAGGCTCAGGCCCCGCCCCACCCTCAGGATGTGAAGTTGCTTCACTCCCAGCCAGAACCCCCCCAGGGCCAGGGGGCCACAGCAGCCCCTGCGGGTGTGATGCAATGTAATATGGTGTGAAGTCGGCCTTCAGGGAACACCCGCTGAGCCAAGGGCATAGGGCATTCAAAGGCTGGAGGTGATGGGGGCGTCACCACCCACGGGGTCCCACAGTGCTGGGGCTGGGGAGGGGGTGGTGCCCAGCACTCCTGCCCTCTGAGCCACTCCCCACCCCCACCCCCCCACAGCAGCTGTTTAAGCCCCCACCGGTCCTGGAGCAGAGGAAGCGGCTCCATCCTTCCTTGGGCTTTTTGGAGGTGCCCTTGACTCCAGGTGCTGGGGCTGCCCACAGCTGAGGGTGCCAGGACGGGGTGAGAGCGAGGGGATGCACTCTGAAAGGCCGCCCCACTGAGGACATAGCCCTGCACAGCCGTCACACCCCACCCACCACTGGGCCTCAGAGATCTGGTGGGGGCGTGGGGGGCCCAACTCTTGGGCTTTCCCAGGACGTGTGCAGTGTGTATGGGCCGGCAGCACTGCCCCTCCTCCGGCCTCCCCTGTCCAGCTGCTTGTTGGACTGCGGGAGGATGGGGGAGTACCTGGCCCCCACACCCCACTTGTCCCACCACCCGGCATCCTCCTGAGACGCAGCGCTGGCAGGAGCTGGCCCACCTACACCCCCAAAGGCTCCTCCACCCCAGCTCCTGCCCCCGACCCTGCCCTCTCCCACACCCCCTTATCCTGGTGGCCCAGGCATCAGCAGAGCCCCGAGAAGCACCTCCGTTCTGTTCCCGGAGCCCCAGAAGGCCATGCTATACCCCCCCCCACGCACCCTGACCCAAGAGGAGGGCCTGGGGTATCCGTACCCAGTGCCCCAACCCTGACTCGGGCCTCTGCCAGACCACAGCCGCCACCACCACAGAAAGGCAGACGCAGGGCGAGACCTGAGACCCCACACTCCTGTCAACAGCCACCGCAATGTTCCCCGGACCCAGGCTGTCTGCTGGTTCCTCCAGGCTTCCAACTCCAGGCCGCGCAGGCCTCAACCCTCATTCATCTGCGAAAACAGCCTCAGGCAGAACTTTATTCTGCTTCCGGGGCCAGAGAGAGCCCCGAGGCCGGACGCGCACAACTTTGCTGAATCTCGTCCCCCTCATCACGCGATCCCCAAATACTGCCAGGAGTGGGCCCCGGCATGGGGGAAACATCCCCCACACCAAGAACCAGGAGCAGCCCTAGGCACACTGGGTGTGCCCCCTGAGCCCACCAGGAGTGTGACTCCTGAGTACTGCGCCAGGAGCAAAAGCCCTCAGCCCTCGCTGTGTGGCGCCCAAAACAAAAATAAACAAAAAAGAAACAAACAAACAAAAAAAAACAGACTTTGAAACAGGCCGAAAGAATCAGATTATCCTCTTGAGCCATCCAGTGTGAACCACCGGTGGTGGTATGTTGGTTGATTTTCTGGCTGGACACAACCAGAGATGAGAATCAACAGGCTGGCTGGCATGACGAAACAAGAAGTGGAGCCCCTCCCACGACCCCTCAGTGGCCCACGTGGGGCCGAGGGGCTCTCTGGCAACGGGCAGTGGGTGCTCCCTGCTGGAACAGGCGTCAACAGAAGCTGCCCCCACCGTCCCCGCCCACCGACTCACCAAGAGGGGCATCAGGGCATCCGGTGTGGGGATGTGATGCTTCCCTTCCTTCTGCTCCTCCCGGGGACACACAGGTCCCCTCCACCCCCCCAGAGCCGGCTCAGGGTCCCAGGGGCAAGGGGGGAGGGCGCCCAGCTTCTAGACAGAAAGCGGCCAGGGACTGGCGGCCCAGGCCGGCCTCGTGCAGGCCGCCTGCTTTGGAAACAAATGATGTCAGTAACGAACGGTCCCAAGAACGACAGCGGGGTGGCCTGGGAGCACCCGGATCTTTTGTCTCCAGCGAGGGGGGCGCGGGAGAGAAGGGTGGCGAGGAGCAGGCCCGCCCGACACCACAGCCCGGCCGGAGGAGGAGGAAGTCTCGTTTCCGAATCAGGCACAGGAAGAGACTGGCAGCAGAGCTGAGTGACCACACAGGCCCACACGGGGCCCCGGCGGCCACAGACCCGTGCACGGGGGGCTCGAAATAGCTCACCGGGCAGATTATTTTCGGCGCGCGGGGGAGTGAGGACACAGACCAAAGCTTCGGGGAGGTTCTGGGTGGGAAGCTGGGGACAGCCCTGGCCACCAGTGACAGCACAGCACAGCTGAGAAGCATCCAGCAACCGCCTGAGGACCCTCCCCGCCGGGGGCAGGTCCCCAAGGTCCAGCTTCCCTCCCGGGGGCCCGCAGGGAAAGTCCCCCCTGTCCTGACACCCTGGCCACCTGGCCAGGCACTCACCTGGGGCACTGGGGGACGGGAACATCAGCCCGGCGGCGGCCTATCCAATAGGGGGTCTGCAGCTCCAGTGGGGTCCCGCGGGGGTCCCCCCTCACTCTGACATCCGGGGCTGCGGAGAGGGGCAGCTGGGCTCTCGTCACGCAGGGGGCTGCGGGCTCCAGGGCCGGGAGGACTGGGGGTCTGGGGGCGCCTGGGAAGGCAGGGGTGCAGCTCAGGCCCCCTGCCTAGAAGCTGCCTGGACCCTGGGCGTCCTGCAGGTGCACGGTGGCCGTGTTTCCCTCCTACCTGTGACAGTCCCCCGGAAACGCCCCCGCCGCCGCTGGAGCTGGTTCTCGTAGGAACACACACACACACACACACACACACACACACACATATACACACATACACAGCCAATGGCACAGCCTGGCTGGGCGGGCTGGGAAGGGGAGGCGGGCCCTGCCTGCCCAGCAACAGCTCAGCCAATGAGTGCGCGCCCCGAGCCGGCCAATGAGAGCTCCACACACACTCCCGGGCTCCGCCAATGAGCTGCGGGCTCCGGAATCTGTATAAGCAGGTTCTGGCTTTTCCTCCAGGGAAGCCTCGGGCTGCTCAGCGGGTGCTGCCGGCACCAGCCAGGCTGCGTTTCTGCAAGGAGCCCGCTCCCCTCGCTGGCACACTTCTTTGTCTTGAGGTCCAGGAGGGAGGGGATGCAGGCCCAGCCCAAGAGGAAAGTTCCCTCCCCACCTCCCCACCTCCCCCCCACCACCACCCCTTCTGCAGGTGCAGTGACCTCGCTAGGCTCTGGGACCCGCTTCCTGGCCAGCCCACGGCGGCTCTGGTCCTGCAGGGCGGCAGCAGCTGCTGAGAGCCAGCGGTGCACACGGCCA